TACTACTACTACTACTACTACTACTACTCCTACTACTACGACTACTACGACTACTACGACTACTACTACTACTACTATTACTACTACTACTACTACTACTACTACTACTACTACTACTACTACTACTTCTACTACTAGTAATACTACTACTACTGCTGCTACTACCACTACTGCTACGACTACGACTACGACTACGACTACAATTGCGACTACTACTACTACTACTACTACTACTACTACTACTACTACTGCTGCTGCTGCTGCTGCTGCTGCTGCTGCTGCTGCTGATGCTGCTGCTGATGATGATGATGATGCTGAGACTGCTGATATTTTGGCTGTGGTTAAAGTGTAGGCCCGAAGCCACCTGCCATGCGAAGCGGCGCCGTCCAAGTTGAAGGACATAGCTGCCACGGGGAGTCCCACTGAGCAGAGGATGCATTATTGCGCGCTTTGATCTCCCGCCGGGTAAAGACGGCCCGAAACCCCGCAGGCGGCCGATGGGGCCTCAAGACGGCCCACCAAAACCCCAGGACGGCCGTAGAGGGTCCAAAAAGGCTCCAGGGGACGCCCCGCTACGGCCCGAGACGCCAAAGCCAGCCCCACAGGAGCCAGGGGCCCCAATACGGCCAAAACGAACTCCAGGCGGGTTCCAAGCGAAATGGCGTCACATGCGATTCGCCTGAAAATCGCGCCTCATAAGGCACATCGTCGTCGCCGTCGTCGTCGTCGTCGTCGTGGTCGGTGTCGTCGTCGCTCTCGTCGTCGTCGTCGTCGACGTATTCGTTTTCGTCGTCGTTTTCGTCTTCCTCGTCGTCGTTCATTTCCACAGGCACCCGGAGCGCCCCGGATCGGCGGCACTGGCCGGAGGCCACGACAATCGCGCCTCACAAGGCCCATCCAAGAAAGAGCCCTTCCAGGCATCCCAAGACGGCCCAGGAGGCATCCTCCCTCGTTCTCCCTGCCAGGCCCCTCCTCCTGCCGACGGCGACCTTCCTCGACCTCGTGCTCTTCCTCCTCCCCCCCCGCCCCATCATCACCAACGCAATTGGCATCATCAGCATCAGCATCAGCATCAGCATCAGCATCAGCATCAGCATCAGCATCATCATCATCATCATCATCATCATCATCATCATCATCATCATCATCATCATCATCGTCATCATCATCATCATCATCATCATCATCATCATCATCATCATCATCAGCATCATCATCATCAGCATCATCAGCATCATCAGCATCATCATCATCATCATCATCATCATCATCATCATCATCATCATCAGCAGCATCAGCATCAGCATCAGCATCAGCATCATCGTCATCATCAGCATCATTAGCATCAGCATCAGCATCAGCATCATCATCAGCATCATCAGCATCAGCATCATCATCATGATCATCATCATCATCATCAACTTAATCATCATCATTATCATCATCACCATCATCAGCATAAGCATCACCATCATCAACGTAAGCATCACCATCATCAACATCGGCATCATCACCAACATCAGCATCACCAGCATCAGCATCGTCATCATAACATCATCATCAGCAGCATCATCATCGTCATCGCCATCATCATCATCATCATCATCATCATCATCAGCATCAGCATCAGCATCAGCATCAGCATCAGCATCATCATCATCATTAGCAGCATCGTCATCGCCATCATCAGCAGCAGCAACAGCCAGCATCGTGATCTTCCTCCTCCTCCGCCTCCCCCTCCTCCTCCTCCTCCTCCTCCTCCTCCTCCGCCTCCTCCTCATCGTCATCATCATCATCAACAACATCATCAACACCAGCCGAGGCTCCCTCTGAGGCCCAAGAGGCTCTCGATGCCCAAGAGGCTCTCTCTCTCTCTCAGGCCCAAGAGGTTCTCTCAGAGGCCCAAGAGAACTCTCTCAGAGACCCAAGAGGCTAGGCTGTCTCAGAGGCCCAAGAGGCTCTCTCAGACACGCTCATCGGCACACTCCAAACACACATACACTGGGACACAGAGACACCCCACGGGGACACCGAACCCCCCTAAGCGGGACACCGGAAACCCCACCTGGACACCGAAACATCTTTTCTCCCGACCCACAGGCCTGGCTACCTACCTACCTACATACCTGCAAACCTACAGACCTACCTACCCACCTACCACCACGGAAGCAACTTCTTCTTCTATTACGGCGACAATCACCACCACCACTGCACTACACAATGACTATTGTTCCTGCCTCATCATCCCCCTCTTCCTCATCCTTCTCGTCCTCCTCCCTTTGCCATGTTTCCCCTCCTCCATTCTCTTCACCGTCTCCTGGACCTCCTCCTCATCCTCCTCATCCTATCGCCTCCTTCTCCTCGTCCTCCCTCCTTTCCTCCTCCTCCCCCTCCCCCCCCCTCGTTCTCCACAACATCATCCTCGTCATCCTCATCCTCCCCCTCCCCCTCCTCTTACTCCTCCACATCCTCCTTTTCCTCCTCCGTCGTCCTGCTCTCCTCCCTCTGTCTCTCTGTCGTCCCTCTGCTCCCATCATCGCCCCTCCCTCCTTACCATCCCCGGCATGCCCCCCCCCCTCCCGCACCACTCGGCTGCCACCTCGGACCTGCAGCCGAGGGGGCGCGCGTGCCGTCCTGCAGCAGCTTGCCGAACACGCTGCTCCCGGCGCCCTCGCCCAGCGAGGGGTCTTCCTGGGCGGGTACGGCACGGCACGCCGCCCTGCAGGGCAGAAGCCCGCTCAGGCCGTGAGGGGGGAGCAGGTAGGCAAGCGCCGCAGCGCTCCCCTAAAATCTTCAGACATGACAGCACTGAGTTTCGCAAAGCGTGCCACGAGCCAGGATCCACATCTGGATTCTGGGACGCCGAAGGGCCTCCTGGGGGAGAAAGGGGGGGGGGGCGTCACGAGGCGCCACAGCCTGCAAACTCGAACGCTCGCCCTGCATTCAGACACTTGCCCTTCCATCCCTGGGAGCACTTCGGAGCTTGCGAACGCCACCATCATAGGGAATCGAACTCTATACACCGACGCTTTTTCCGGCCCTGCATTGAAATTTGCAATGGAGAGCGGATCCTGGTGTATACGGGACCCTGGTGTATACATTTTTCGCTGTTCCCCCGGGAAATCGGGGAAAAAGGCATACACCACACCACCCCAGCGTCGCCCCCGACCCTCACAGAGTCCTGGGACTGAAAAACAGCCCGCCACTGGTAGTGTATATGTCCCGGTTTCGGACATCGGCCTGCTCCTCCTCCCTGCCCTCCCCCTCGCCCCCGCCATCCCGCGAGCGTTCCTCCGCGGCGGCGGGCCTGCGCGGCGAGGGCGCGGCCGGCGCCGGGCCAGGCGGCTGCCCGCCAGGCGGGCGGCACCTCAGCATCGCGAGCTTGTCGTGCCTGCCGCAGGCGGGGCGAAGGCGGCGGCGACGGGGGCGCCGAGGAAGCCGACAAGGAGGAAGACGAGCGGGAGGAGAAAGAGGAGGAGGACGGGGAGAAAGATGAGCAGGACGAGGAGGAGGACGAGGAGGATTGAGGAGGAAGAGGAGGAAGAGGAGGACGGGGAGGAGGATGAGCAGGACGAGGAGGAGGACGAAGAGGAGGGTTGAGGGTTTCCAGGATTTCCGCTATCACAAGAGCGATCCAGGCTTTGGGAAACTCACCGCGAGAACTATATCTAGATACTCTCGGCGCGTCTTCGATATGGGTAAAACGCATGGCTTTGCTAGACCTCTGAACTGGTCTTGACCGAAATAGCCACATGCGCGACAAAACCACAATCGAAGCGCTTCATGAAAATACACAGCGTGCGAGGGTTGGGCCCAACCTCCAGCGATGTGTAAATGTCGTCCTCGAGGGAACCGAAGCACCTTACCGCCGACAGCCTCTGGAGGCACAAAACCGCTTTTTAGCTAGACCCACACCTCCGCTTTCGAATTCGACGACCTACAAGCGCGACGAGAGCGCCCATCCTCGGCCAGGACGTGCGGGGTCGCAAAGCGTGCAAGGACAAGAGGAGCGGGAGGAGGACGAGGAAGAGGGGGCGGAGGGGAAGGAACACTGGCCTGGCGGGCCTGGCCCGTCTTGGCAAGGCCCTAAGCCTGCAGCACCTCTAGGGCGGCCCGCAGGAGACTACGCCGAACCAAGACCGCTTTACTCTCGATGTCAAGCACCCGCGTGCGCTCCGTGAGCGCCATGCGCGCGCGGCTGGCTGCAGCACAGCCAGCTCGTCCACCGCCGCGTTGCCCTGCACGAGCCACGACGGGATCTGCCTTTCCAGCACCCCGGGCCCCTCCAGGTGCGACGGCACCTGCAGCGCGATGACGCACTCGGGGGGCCGACCCTGCCGACGGAGCGACTGGCCCATGGCCCGCCACAGGTCGGCATGCTCGCCCCCAGGCTGCATGGCCAGCCCTGCCCACCAGCCGCGGCTGACCTCGTCGCAGTCCTCCTCGTAGACGACCCACCCCTCGGAAAGAAGGATGACCAGCTCGAGCGCCGCACTCTCGCCTCGCGGGGCCGTCTGGGACGGCCCAGGCAGCGGCCCCAGCAAGTGTGGGCCCAGCTGGAACGGGGAGAAAGACTCGACGACCGTGACAGCTACGCCGACGCGGCGAAGGCGAGGGTCGAGCGTGTCCTGGCCGCCCGACGCGGGCATCCTCGGAGCCTCGCCCGAGGCAACCAGCCGCGATCTCCCCGTTCATGCAACCTGTCGGCCACTGCTCCTCGGCCGTCGGCGGAGTCACTCTCGCCCACGCCGACGGGACGAGGCCACTGAGCCAGAAGCAGGGGGAAGCCTCGGACTCGGCGACCGCCACGGGCACGAGGTCGCTGAAATCCGAGAAAGCCTTGCTGCTGCTGTTGCAACTGCAAAGCCACGTGCGATGCAGGGGCGTCTCAACGCGCTGCCCGCACCTGTCACGCCTGCTGTTGTCGCGCAGGCCCGCCTCGAAACATCGCTGGCTAGGCCAGGACCCGCCCGCCGCGATGGCCACCATGAGCTCGGCGAGCTGGCGACCACGGTGGATGCACTGCAAATCCGCCAAGAACTTCCCCGGGTCGAGGAGGTCGGACCCCTCCTCGAGGCCCCCGCCGAAATAGTGCTCCGCGGCAACGCGCCACTGCCTGCTCGCAAGTGAAGCCACGAACTCCGAGATGAGTGGGGCGGCCGGGTCCATCGCGCAAAAAACCGGCGGCACTGAAATTCCAGCCGCGCCTATCCTGAGATGTCACTCGTCGTATCCCACGCTGTCGCCGAAATCGATTTCCACCCAGCATGCAGCAGATAAGTAATGACCGCTGAAACAGGTCCGCGGACGTGACGGGCTCGATCAACCTCAGCCACGCGGCTGAGCTGCTCGGCGATTCGCGGCCAAACACGCAAGATCCCCGCCCTGATCAGTGGTTCTGAAAGCCAGACTTGGAAACGCTGCTCCAGGCACTGCTTGGGCAAAACCAACCCAGGGTCGCCGTCCGGCAGGCGCAGGGTTAGCAAGATCGTCGCGCAGCGCCCTCGGCGCAGGGAGCCTGCGGCGACCGCCAGGCGGCGCCGCTGGATCACCATGCCGCTGCCGTGGACCCCGCGCACCTGGTGCCCGCAGGTGGCGGCAGCCCGCGGGCCCGCCCGCTGTAACTTCGCCGCGGAGGCGAAGTGCCGAGACGCACGGGCGAAGCGCCGCAGCTTGTCGTGCTGAGCGCCGCCCTTCACGACCCTCTTGCGCGCCGTCTCCCTCGAATGCCCCTTGCCGCCCCCGAGGTCCACGCCCAGGTGGGCGGTCTGCAAAGCAGCCTTGACGCACACCGACTTCCTGCGGAGAGCCTTCACGATGAAGTGGGCGCCCTCGGGGCGCGAGCACGTGGCCGCACTCTTCGGGGAGAGGTTCAACTGCTGCTCCTTGAGAAAACGCGCCGTCGCCGCAATACCTTTACATAGGGTGGCCCGCACGTGCCGCCGCGAACCCACAACTCTCTGAGACAGGTCGTCGATCCACAAACGCTCTGACAACGTGGGGCACGCAATGCATAAATTCCGAACAACCCAGTAAGTCATGCATCTCGCAAAACGGGCAACGTTGCGAAGGCCCTGTACAACCGACCTCGTCGGTTGAAATAACTCGGAAAAAGACCCCAGTTGGGCGAGGGCCATCCGGGGTACACGCACAACTGCAATTCGAGGAACAACACCACTGGAGGAAAGCCGAGCTCGATGGCCCCCATGGCGATGGAAATCAAACTCGATGCTGTCGTAGAAAGACTCGATATCTGCCAGCGAGCGTCCATGAGAAAGGCCCATCTTGCCAGCCACCTCGTCGTCGAGGGCGCGCGCGAAAGCTTCGCGCAGAGCGCTGTTGTTGGCCACCGCGGCGCCCCGCGCTGGTTCTTGCTCAACTGCCCACTGCCGCATCAATGGCTCACGACACATCGACCATACACCGCAGAAACATCGCTAGAAGACCTACCGCTCGATCACCGCCATTATTTTTCCCAAGAAGGCGGCCTATCACTGTCATAACTTGTCAACGCCATGGTAATCCTTCCTCGATCATCTGGTAGAGCTGGCATAGTTCCTCGAGCGCCACGTCGGGGAGCCTTTGCACATCAACTGGGGACAGTTGGTCTATCCCCAAGCCAGCCTTGCTCTTCATACTGGAGAGAGCAACCCGCAATTCGCCAACGGTGATGGGCACCAAGGGCTCGATGACAGCATGCCCACGGACAAAACTGCAAATGCATTCCACCATTCCGCACGACAACAAATCCGTTCGCCAGAGCTTGCGATATTTCTGCACCTCGAGATCAATGATGTCCATCGGGTGGACGAAACATTGCTGACTCAAATGCAGTTCGTCGGCGACTGGCTGCGGATCCTTCAGACTTTTGCGAACCGCACCGGCCGCTGGCGCCGAAGCAATCCACCCTTGAAATTCCTCTAAGAAGCCGAGGCAGCCGAGACTCCGCCGCCCGAGTGCCTCGAAAAGACCAGGCCTCTAAGGACTTGGGACGCTCGACACTGACGCGCTCCAAAGCTAACAAGTCACGCTGCAACTCCGCCCAGACACCGAAACTACACAACTTGATCGCGCCCGCTTACTCGGGGGCGCTGCCACCGATCCGCCTGCCGCGCAGAGGTGCTGAGTTTGAACTGGCCCATTCTCACGACTGCGGTGCCTGAGGAGTTCCTGGATAACCGAATGAGCGCTAGACCACCAGCTGGCCACCATATCGCGCAGCGGCTGCTCGCGCAGGTGCGCGGCCTGATGCACAGGGGCCACAACCAGCTGAAACCCCGGGCTCGTGATTGCCGAGGAAGATCCTGCTCATGGTGCTGCGCAACCGCTCGCTCTACAGACTCGATCCAAGCGCCATATCGACTGCTGATCGGTAGGACGTGCTGCTGCCCAATATGATAGGCCAGAGACTGGAGCACAGCGGGCAAAACTTCGTTGAGAGAGCGTTGAGGCCAGCCGACTTGAGCCGAGGCCGCGGATCAAATAGCAGCAGAGATGGGTAAAGACGGAGAGGCAGCAGCAGAGGCAGCGGAGCGGGATGTGCTTTGACCAGCTCCACTGGGGTCAACCTCGGGACCATCGCTGGGTTGGGCCCACTGCGCCCCCGCCGATGCGGCAGGTGAAATTACGCTTGAATTATCTGGCGAAATGCTAACGGACCCCCACAGGCTGCCCGATTATCCTGCATGGGGCCTTGAAGGGGAACTCCGACACCAGACCTGGGCGCAGGGCGCGAGACCGTTTCGGAGCTCTCGTCCCGCGCCGCGGGCTGAAAACCAGATTCGTGGGCCCAAGGGGCCTCTTCCCCTTCGGGCTCGAAGCTAAACTCCTCAAAATCCTCAGGCGGCGCCTCGCCGAGAACAGGCGCGGACGTGCCGAGGGCGCCCGAATCACCCTCGCTGCTCAAATCCACCCTACTGCCTGTCTCAGCAGGCCGCCTCAGGACATCTGAGTACAGCTCGTTGCATATCAATGTGTTTTTTCTCTCGAGCGAGCTCACGCTGGGCGATGCGCATGCCACGGTCCGGTTGGTCATGCGATGCGCAGACCAACCAGACCAACCAGACCATATGCAAAAAAGACTGCAAAGCAAAAAAAAAAAATGTGAAATGCAAAACTAACGTATTTCGGTCGTATGGTGGTTGGCGCTGCCTCGCCGGACCTCTCCTAAAGCACTCTCGACTGGATCCTAAGCTAAGGCTGCAAGACGAAGCTCAAACCAGACCAACCAGACCAAAACCAGACTTGCTCTTTGTTAGCTTGGCGTCCCGTCGTGCGCTACACGGCTAAGAACTTCATTGTCTCTGTTTGAATATGTTTTCGCCGGTCTGTAGATGGCTTGGGTTGGTTTGGATATGTTGCTTGGCAAGTTTTGGTATATTGTTGGTCGGGTCAGAAATGCGGTGAGTCGGCTTGGATATGTTGTTGGTCGCATTAGATATTAGGTTAGTAGGTCTCGATACTGCTTGGCTGGTGTATAGAGATTGTGTTGCTCGGGTTTGATGTGTGGTTGGTCGGTTTAAGACTGGTTTGCTCGTTTCTATATAAACATGTATATATATGTACATGTATATGGTTGTGTGTGCTTGGTTGTTTTATACATGCTGTGTGCCAGTATTTAGATGTCTATATATATATGTGTGCACGTAGATGTGCTGTTGGCGAGGTTTGGTATGATGTTGATCGGTTCAGAGATGTAATTGGTCCGTTAACCTATGTGGTTCGTCGGATGTGTGTTATCGGTATTGATGCGCTTGGATGACTTAGATATGGTTACGGTGGTTTCAGATATGGTGTTGGCCAGTGTATATAGATATGCGATTGGTTTGTTTAGCTATGCATTGGTCGGCTTAGATACTTCCTTGCTCGGTTTAGATATACTCACGGTCAGTTCAGACATCGCCGCTGTCGGTTTCGATATGTTCTGGTCGGCTTAGATTGTGTTGGTCGGTGTCGGTATGTCGTTGGTATGTTGAGATATGAGTCCGGTCTGCTAGGATATGTTTAATCGGTTGAAAATATGCTCTTGGTGGGTGTATGTTCGTATTCAGTCGGCTTAGACGTGTCCTTGGTATGTTTAGTATGTTTCTGGCAAGTTCAAATATGTTTCTGGTTCTTGGTCGGCTTGCAAACATCCAGGGGCGCGTGGCGCGCTGCCCCCACATCGCCAAGGCCCCCCCGCGGGACATGCCAGAGACCAGCCAATAACATCACCAGGCGCCCTTCCTGCTGGGACTGGTGTGTCAAGCGACTCCCCGGAGACTCGTCGAAATCGGCGGGGCGGGCGGGCGTGGGCCAAGTGCGTGGCCGGCGATGCGCGCAACGATCAACACACTGCATGCTGATGGGCCAGAGCCCCGCACCCCTGGTGGTCTCTCGAGGCCCGCGCGAGCCTGTCCGAAGCCCTGGCGGGGCGCCCGTCGGGCGGCGGGGCGCCGCGCGGGGGCCGCTGAGAGCTCGGCCCCACGCGGGCGAACGCAGAGCCGGCCAACTCTACAAGTGTACTGACCCGTTGCCTCCTTCACGCAATCTGGGGCGTCGCAGTGAGGAGCCCATCATCGGGGTCGCGCGCCGTCGCGCAGCGACTCTCTTCCCGTGGACGCGCGGCGACGCCACCAAAAGAGAAACAGGGCACGTTCCACAGAATGCCTGCCCGAGGCCGCGGTGCGCGAGAGCCCCCGCGCACGCCACCCCACGCCGACCCCGCGCCGCCCTCGCGCCAAGGCCGCGCCGGAATCCCCTGGGGCACTGAGACTCGCCACGCGGCCTTCACGCTCCTCCTCCTCCTCCTCCTCCTCCTCCTCCTCCTCCTCCTCCTCCTCCTCCTCCTCCTCCTCCTCGTAGAGCAAATCACAAGTGACCTGCGAGAGGCCAGTCCTGGGGATGGGCGCCGCGCGCGCGCTTCCTCCCCCTCCACTCGGCCGGCCTGGTCAGGTCTTCCAGGATGACCGAGAACATCTCCTGGAGAGGTTCCTGCAAGGAGGGGGCGAGGAGAAGGGGTAGGGAGAGGAGGAGGGGGGGGGACGAGGAAGAGGGGGAGGGTGGGGATGACATGGGGAGGATGCGAGGAGAACAGGGCAAGGACGGGGGGGGACGGGAGGGGGAGGAGGAGCCAGAGGGGGGAGGAGGAGAGGAACAGCGTCAACCCCTGGAGAGGGCAGCTCGGAGCCCAGCTCGGGGCCGCTCGGAGAGACTGGAGAGGGCAGCTCGGAGAGGGCAGCTAGGAGCCCGGCTCGGGGCCACTCGGAGACTGGAGAGGGCAGCTCGGAGCCCAGCTCGGAGAGGGACTGCAGGAGACTGGAGAGGGCAGCTCGGAGCCCAGCTCGGGGCCACCAGGCCGCCCGAAGCGGGCCGGCGGGATCTGCCGGCAGGCCCTCGGAGGTCCTCGTGCCCGCCCAGGCCGTCCGTCGCCGCGTCGCCAGCCTTAGACAGAGCAGCCGTCGCCGATGCGGGGCGAGGAGCACAGGTGGGGAAGCGGTAAGTGGATCGACAGGAGAGCAGCAGACACCCACTCGCGGACTCGCTCACACGTTGCAAGTCGAAGCTACATAAGCCTGCGGGAGACGGACGAGGGCCGCACAGAGGAGGAGAAACAAATGCGGCGCACTCCAGACTCACAGACTCACCCACTCAAACACACACACACACACACACACAGACACACACAGACACACACACACGCACGCACGCACGCACGCACGCACGCACGCACGCACGCACGCACGCACGCACGCACGCACGCACACACACACACACACACACACACACACACGTACACACATACACACGTACACACACACACACACACACTCGTATTGTCAGGCGTGCTCGCGTGTGTGACCCAGCGTGTTGAGATAACGTCCTCAAACAGCATGCACCTGAATTTTGACAGATCCACCAGCTACACGGCAGGTGGATGATTTTTTGTTTCAGGTTCAGGCTGTCGCTTCGGCGCCACGTACACTCGTATTGTTCAAGCGCGCTGCACAAGAAACGAAGGGCTTTGCTGGCCAAGGCGAGACTCCCATCAGCCCTCTGGGCGTGAGAAAATGTTGTCGGGTTTTCTCTTCCGTCTTCCCCTTCTTGCTCTTCGGGCTCTTTATTAATGTAGACGCCAGTGACATGGGGCGCGTGTCTCTACCGCGCCTGGTGGATCGTGGAGAAGGTCTGGAGTCACGTATAGAGCATGCACGTGCCAGCGCTGCTCGTGTACCACCTCCCCCACCCGACTGGCGACAAACCAGGGCCGATGCAAAACCAGGCATGACGCAATACGACCGCCAACGACCACGGGACCAATGGAAAACAACGCGCGGCCAGCGGACCCCCCCCGCGCGCGGCAGCGCCACCTGTGCCGTCAAAGCAAGCCCCTGTTCGTTTCGAAGAGATTTCGTGCACGCCCCCTTTTCGTTACCAGGGGTTGGACACAGATGGCGATCGCTCCGTCGCACCCGGCAAAACGAAAGGCGCCGCGATCCATCGACTGGACGCACCTTGAAGAGTAGAAGGCGCCGTGTTCAGTCGCTCTCGGTCGCACCTAGGGGACTTGAAAGCGCCGTGCTCAATCGCCCGGTCGCGCCTCGGAGAATCTCGGGTCGGTCTTGCTCGAGTAGCGCCAAGATGACTTTGCCCCTCGGCTGCTTCGTCTGCGCGGTCGGTCTCGCGGCCAGGCCCGCCTCCTGACCCCCCGCAGTACGGGGCCGCCCCGACCTCGATCTCGAACGCGTCGTTGGCCCTCTCGAGGTCGACGCGCAGGGGCGTCCGCCCAGAAGTGTGCGCCCAGGTCTCGGTCGCTCACGTCACTAGCGCTCAAGAGGGGCTGCCTCTCGCATCGAGAGGCTGGCCCTCCTGCGACGCGGAGTGGTAGACGCGCTGGCCGCGGCCTCGAACGCCCGGGCGAGGGCCTCCTGCCGGCGCGTGTCCACCCCTGCCTTCGACTCGGTCGCCTCCGCCGCCGGGCAGTCCGCGCGCAGCCCCGCGGGCCGCGCCGCCGCGCCAGCTCCCGAGTCGGCTTCGACCCGAACACGCCGCCCGGGCGAGACACTGCCCATCCTCGAACGAAGGATTGCACGAAGGATTGCAAAAAAAAACCCTTGGGTTTTTTTGCAATCCTTTTTGCAAAAAAACTCTTGGGTTTTTTTTTTTAACCTTGGGCTTTTTGCAATCTTGGGTGTTTTTGCAATCCAAGGGTTTTTTTGCAATCGCTTTTGCAATCCTTGGGTTTTTTTTTGCAATCCTTGGGTTTTTTTGCAATCCTTCTTCCCCCCCCGGGCCGCGCAGGCTGATCGCGAGCGCGCCGGCGCCCTCGGCGCCGCAGGACAACGCCGACATGTCGACGTCGCCGCCCAACGCGACGCGTGCGGCTGCGGTGGCGGTGGTGCTCCGCGCTGCTGAGGTTGGATTGCAAAAAAACGAAGGATTGCAAAGGATTGCAAAAAAAACGAAGGATTGCAAAAAAAACGAAGGATTGCAATCGCTGCTGCTGGCCATTTCCAACTGGGTTGATCTGCCTCTGGGCCTGAAGCTCACGGCAGTCCGCTCTCTTGCGGCCCCTGATGCCGCAAAGAATACCGCGCCCCCCCCGGAACTGGCCGCCGCCCTCGTCGCGGTCGTTGCCACCGCTGCCCCGGCCGGCGCAGCCACCTTCGGCGCCGCCACGTCAAGAACCTGACTTCCCACGGCCACCCTTGCAGTCGCAGCTTTTGCCGTTGCCTTTGTAACCACCCCTGTTGCCTCCGCGTTTGGACCTGTCCTTGCCGCCCTCGTCTCCTCCCTGCCGTCCTTGGTGCAGGCAGTCTAGCCGAACTTGTAAATGTACTTCTTCGTCCGATAGATGCCGACGATTTCCGTCTTGATCCTGCCGCGCGTGTCGAGGCAGTCCCACTTCAACACGATGCGGCGCGAAATCTCCTGCGGCTTGATGTTTTTGGCGAGGACGCCCGCTTCAGCACGCTGTCTAACTGGGTGTCAAAGACCGCCTCGTACTTGCTGATCATCACCATCGAACCGCTCCAGCTCATTGATCAGCTCATTGATCATCACCATCGAACCGCTCCAGCTCATTGATCAGATCTGGTGGAACATCCCTGTCAGCCTCGCCACCGCCTTGCCCTCGCACTGTTCGGTGAGCGCCCGCCAGAGCTGTAGTCACTGGCCTCTACGGACGAGCGCCACCTTGTCGTGGCCTTGACTTTACCTCCCAACACCACGGCAAACACGTCGTAGGAGCTGATTCGAGAATCCTCGATCAGCGCCAGCTTCCAACGCCGCATTCGCCGGGCTCTCCGTGACGTCGGCGTGGTCCATCACCTTCAGGAGCCTCTCTGATATGGCCCCTGCATGCGCCCTCAACGTCGTGCTCAACGACTGCCACCCGTCGTCTCTGCCGCGAAGACTCCTTGGCTTACCTATCAGCCTGGTGTCCACCATCTCTGCCCGTGGTGCGGCTGGCCTCGCCAACGCCACCTCCGTAGCTGCGTTGGAAGCCCTCTGCTCCTGCAGCGCCGGATTGAGCTGCACAATCTGCTGCTCCAGGGCCGCAACCCTCTGTTCAGCAGGCATTGCGCCCCTGGTCCTTGGTCGCTCGCAGGCAGGACCCGAGGAAGCCCCACTTTCGCCTCTTGAACGCCAACCTGCCTAGCTTCCTCCCAAGTTTCGTCCACTGGCCCGTCAGTCGCCAGTCTCACACCTGCAAGTCATAGTCCAGCATCTCGAAGCCGAACGACTCTGGCTCTTCGGCTGGATCCACCGCCGCCGCTGCGGCCGCTTCCAGCCCGCGCGGCCAACATCATCGTCATCATCATCCACATCATCATCATCATCATCATCATCATCATCATCATCATCAGCAGCAGCAGCAGCAGCAGCATCATCAGCATCATCATCATCATCATCAGCAGCAGCATCAGCATCAGCATCATCATCATCATCATCATCATCATCAGCAGCAGCAGCAGCAGCAGCATCAGCATCAGCATCAGCATCAGCATCAGCATCATCATCATCATAATCATCATCATCATCAGCATCATCATCATCATCATCATCATCATCATCATCATCATCATCATCATCATCATCATCGTCATCGTCATCGTCAGCATCAGCATCACCAGCATCATCATCAGCATCATCACTATCATCATCAGCATCATCATCAGCATCTGCATCATCATCACCATCTCCTCGGCATCACTATCATCCTCATCATCATCACCATCACCATCAGCATCATCACCGTTATAGCCACCATGATCGTCACCGCAACCACTACCATCATCATAAGTAGATTATTCGTACTACTCATTGCCTGCTTGGGGGGCACGCTCCTGAAACTCCGTGCCGAAAAAAACGCGAACACTCACCTTCAAAACCAGGCAGCACGCACTTTGGCGCGACGCGCGTTCTGACACCTTCCTCCTCCTCCTCCTCGTCCGTATCCTCATCCTCCTCCTCGTCCTCCTCCGCCTCCTCCTCCCTCCTCCCTCCTGCCTCCTTCTTCATTCCTCCTTCCTCCTTCCTCTTTCCTCCTTCCTCCTTCCTCCTCCTCATCCTCCTCCCGCGGCGGAGCGCAGTCCTTGCGCTCTTTGGGTGTGTGCTGGCGCCCCCCCCAATGATCGGCGTCAGCCCCCCATGAGCAGCCGGTGACTAACGCTGGGCAGGGCCCCCCGCAACCAACCAGCGGCCGCCACCGTGAGGGAGAAATTGTGCCAGCCCAGGAGGGAGCTCCCATCCCTCCTCCTCCTCCTCCTGCTCCTCTTCCTCCTCCTCCTCCTGAATCCTCCTCCTCCTACTCCTCATCCTCCTCCTCCTCCTCCTCCTCGACCTTCTCCTCCTCATACTCCTCCTCCTCCCTCCTCCTCCTCCTCTCCTCCTCCTCCTCCTCATCCTCATCCTCCTCTTCCTCCTCTTCCTCCTCCTCCTCCTCCCTCCTCCTCCTCATCCTCCTCGACCTCCTCCTCCTCCTCCTCCTCCTCCTCCTCCTCCTCCTCCTCCTCCTCCTCTTCCTCCTCCTCCTCCTCCTCCTCCTCCTCCTCCTCTCCTCCTCCGCGACCTCCTCCTCCTCCTCCTCCTCCGCGACCTGCCCCTCCCCCCGATGCAGCAACGGCGCTGCCTGCGTGCTCCTCGCAAGCTCCAGGGCCTTCTCAGGGCTGCCAGCCTGCACCACCGCGTCCGCCACGGCCGCGAAGCTCGTGCCCGCGGGCAGGACCCCCGCGTCCTGGGGGGCACAATCTGGCGGGCCAGCTCCGCAATGCCGTCTCTGCGCGGCTTCCCACTTCTCCCGGAACCCTCCTTCCCTGGGTCCTCCCTCGGAACGAGTACGTGCGCTGCTGTTCGCAACTCCTTCCTTCCTCCTCTCACCACTTCCCGCCTCCACCTCCTCCTCCTCCTCCTCCTCCTCCTCCTCCTCCTCCTCCTCCCTCTCCTCCTACTCCTCCTACTCCTCCTCCTCCTCCTCCTCCTCCTCCTCCTCCTCCTCCTCCTCCTCCTCCTCCTCCTCTCCTCCTCTCCTCCTCCTCCTCCTCCTCCTCCTCCTCCTCCTCCCTCCTCCTCCTCCTCCTCCTCCCCTCCTCCTCCTCCCCCCACCCCCGTTCCTTCCCCTCGCGCGGCACATCCGCGAACGCCCCAGAAGCCCGGGTCAGGGCCAGCAAAGATCCTCGAAGGGAACTGTTCGACAAGGGCAGAGGCGCTGGCATCATACGACCTTGCCAAGGCAGGTGTACCAGAGGCAATCACGCGATGGCGTTTGCGCGGGCGGGACAAAGCCAACGCAAGTGACACGTCCAACTCCCACGATGAAGAGAAATCGGACGCCAGGGCCGACGGTGAGCCCAGAGCGGGACGCGGAGCCCCCGCTAAGGCTCCACTCCTCCCTCCCCCGCCTATCCTGAGCAGCCTTTAACCGATCTCTTGCCCCCACGGGCGTGACCTGGACCCTACTGGCCGATCTACCCACCCAGACAGGGGATCGAGGCTGCTCCTTCCGAGTCTCGAGGGGCATGTATCCCCAACTGGGGCTGTGGGTTGGTGGAGATCGGGATGGGTGGGGATGGGGATGGGGATGAGGATCGGTGAAAGGATACTAACTTATGCCGACTTCTGTGGCATTGACAGAATGAGAAAACGCATGCGGAAACATCATAACCGCGAACTCATACTGATATCGATACTTATACCGTGACATCCACCATACCTTTTTGGTGAAGTCCACCAGGTCGCCTGCCGCGGTGAAAGCGGGAATGCAGCCATGAAAACGCGCTCGATTCGCTTCCAGGGGCCTCACAGTTAGCTCCAACATTATGTGGAAGACCATCCCGAGCTGATCATGTCTAGAGGTCTCCTAGATGGGGTCCGAATGGATGGGGTTGGAGGATATCGCCGCCGCCCATGCATCGGCGATGCATGGGCGATGCATCGGCGACGTCGGCGCGGGGAAACACTGGCTCCACACCGAGCCGCATCGCCGATGCATCGGCGACGTGACGCGATCCTCCGACTCTAGGAGGCCTGGATCATATCTTCGGGGGCGGCCAACAGGGGGGCGTCCAAGAGGGGGGAGGCGCATATCATGGCCGGCGGCACGTGCTCGGCCCAGGGGCGGGGCCAGGGACGTAATGAAACAAGAAGAGGCGCCATGAGATTTACCAGCCTCGAACGTATCCCTATCCCTAAGATTGACACGCCAAAAGGCGATGACAATCTGAGGGATTCGCCCTCAAAAAAAAGGGAATCCCCAAGATCGGCATCGTGATGAAGCGGTGCCCAGCATAGGGACAGGGATATGTTCCAGACTGGTAAGAGATCCGAGGAAAGATAAACATGGGGGGCACGCGGGCCGCCCCCGGAGAGTCGTGACCGAGGGATATGTTCCAGGCGGATAAGAGATCCGAGGAAATATCATGGCCCACGCCACGAGATCCCCCCCCCAGTCATCACCCCTCCCTCGGCCGCCCCCGCTGCCTGCCTCTGCGAGCGCTTTGTCTGCCCGTGCCGGTCCTGGAGCGCGGCGCACAGTTCCTGGGGCAGGGCGCGGGCACACCGAGAGGAGGGGGAGGAGGAGGAGGAGGAGGAGGAGGAGGAGGAGGAGGAGGAGGAGGAAGAGGAGGAGGCAGAGCGTCGAGAGGGAAGGTTCGTCTCGTCATCACCGCCGACCGCCCCTCGGCAGATCGGCCGCTTGCCTCGCTGCGCGAGCACTGGCAAGCGCTTCCCTGTTGGGGAAAACCGTCGTTGTAGATTTGGCGTGCGCCAGCTTGCGATAAAAATGGAAGGCCACCACCACTCTACGAAGACTCTCCTGGTCCGTGGGGCCGAGGGCGAGTTTGTGGAGGGGCGCCTCTGGGAAGGGAGATCGGCAGACCTCCGAGACCATGCCGAGGAACACCTCACACCAGAAATAATGCGTCGGGCTTCCTCAACCTCGTCGAGGAAACCCACCCCCCATTCCAAGTCTTTAAAGCCGCCATCCTCTATGAGGGGGGGGATCTCAGAAGTTCCGCCTGGACACGCCCCCACTCGACACAAGCCAGATCCCCCCTCTCAAGGCCAAACCAAGTTTTGAGTCTGCGGCCTAGGACTGCGATGAGCGACCCTGCAGACCTGAAGAGTGACATTATATTTCCTGCCACAAAGGATCTCTGCGTGCGCACGCGCACCGCACGAGACGTGCCGAGCTCCGCTGACCTCTGCCGGACCGACTCCCTGTCCCGAGCCAGTCGAGCCAGTCCCGACACAACATGAGGGAGCCAGGTCTGACCTACCGAAAGGCCTTCCCCAGCAGCATCCCGAAGTTCCCAGGAGATCGCCGGCGACTGTCAGAACTCTGGCCACGGAGCGGCACTGCGTGCATCTATGAACCTCACTGTCGGCAGGTATCGCCGCGCAGCCTCGAGAAGCCTACGCACCGCACCCCGCCAGCAAGTTAAAGTTTCAGTTGCCGCCCTGGCACGGCAGGCTGCTGCCAGAGCCTCGACACTTGGCACCAGGGGGCCTCCGAGGACTGGCAAGTCCCAGAAGGCGCGGAGCGGAAGCCAGCTGACCGGCGCCCTGAAAAGACGCAGAAGTACGTACAGCTCGTCGTGGTGGAGGGAGGGGGGGAGGCGGAAGAGTTGAGCCTTGTACTCTAACACGCTGGTGGCACGCTCGCGGTAGAAGCTGACTGCGGTGGATTGGTCCGCGGCCGACCGGGCTATGTCTCGGGCGCGGGTCCTCCACTTTTCGAGCACCCCCGCCCACTGGGTAGCTGGAGTTGCACTGGGGCCAAGCTCCACTCCTAGATACACGAGCTGGCTCACGATTTGAAACGCTGCCCAGGAGGGCTCAACGCTCTGCAAAAGCTGACGGGCTTCTTCTTGCAACGCTTCAGAAAAAAAAGCCTCAGACAGCGGTGCGCAGAAGCACTTGTTTGGATTAAGTGCTAAGCCAGCGAGCCATTTCGACACGCGGGAAAACCATTGCAAGCTGCCTCAAACCCGACTCCCCGTCCACCACCGACCCATTATCATCGGCGCACCAGCGAGCACATCCGCGACGTCGCGCCTCGAGCGAGGCCTCTAGGTCCGCAGAAAATGGGGGGCTCGCCGCGGCAAACAGACTGCCTGAGGCCGGGTCCCCCTGAAGAACTCCCGAGAGGATGAAGAACAAGGGGGAGCGGGAGGGGTCAGAGCTCAGCGAACGGGCACCGCTGTACGACTGCTGGAGGGCATCGAACATGCCAGAAGGGACCCGCCATGCCGTCAGGACGTCCCACAAAAATGCGTGTGCGACCGAGGGGAAGGCTTGCGCATAGTCGAACGCGAGGAGAGGGGGAAGCGGGAAGGCGAGGCAGGAAGCATTCCCTCCAGCCGGGCACGACAATCTAGTTCGACTATGTTGTTTAAAAAGTTGCGGCCTACGATGAAACCTCGTTGGGATCGCGCAACAGAGTGGGCTACACCTCGCTTCAATTTAGTGTTGATCGCCGCCGAGATCGACTTCACCCCGGTATTGCGAAGAGCCAGGGGCGTGTCTTGCCTGCTTCCCGCACTGCGCCCTCACCGCCCGTCGGGAGCTCACCCTTCGGGGGGTACACGCCGACGGAGTCGTTGAAATCGGATCTCATGGGCAGCCCCGACGCCATCGTCCAGGGAGGCCTTGAGAATACTGGGGCCAATTTCGTTTTGAAGCCAGGCGCAATCTGGTAGACCGTCAGGCCCGGGCATCGCAACCTTGGCAACGCGAAGGACTCGCCGCAAGTCTTGGGTCTGCGGGGGCCCCCACATGTCCCACGGCGCCTGGGGCAGGGCGAACTTCGAGACATATTTCTCCCGCATCGCCATCTTGTGCGGGGTGTCCGGGCGGTTCGCAAGGCAGAATATTGAGCCCCAGAAGGACGCCAGGCCCACGTTGATCTCCTCAAGGGTGCCCGCTCCCCGTCCTCCTTCACCAGCCCTATGAGGTACTTTCGAGACCCAGACGGGGCCCAAAGCTGAGATCGACGCCGATGGGCTCGTTGCTGGCCCTGCAGCCGCTTACGTAGCTCAGCCTGGGTCTCGGCCGCCTCGGAACGTTCCATGGCACGACGGCGGTGTGCGCCAGCCCGCCGTTGGGCCAGGTCAAACTCCATCTGGAAGCGGGCGTGGTCTACGATGCTGACCCGGCCCTCCACCACAGAGATAAATTCCCTCGTCCACACATGGTTGGCCATCAATGTGGAGGCCAGCCCACGCCAATTGCGGTTACAGCACGGCCCATTTGGTGGAAGATCATCGCCAGCGACTCTTGGGACCGGCCATGGTTGCGGAGGAGAAAGTTCTGCGTGTCCTTCGCCGCCGCCTGCATGGCATCCGTGTGCATCGCGTACTGGTCGGGAGGAGCCATGTCCTGGAGCGGCAGGGTGTTGACGTAGGCCTGGAGGTACTCCTTGAACTTCGCATGCTTGCAGACTGCAGGCGCTATGGGCGCAGGGTGAGCCGCGTCCCGCGGCCTAGGCCGCCGGCTCGCCAATTCAGTCATGAGCAGGCTGTGGTCGCTGATCTCATTGATGTAGTTTTCCTGAGGTTCACCGAGGATGGAAGTCGACTGCCAGCCCTGGCAAAGCGCCCACTTGGGCACACTGAGGAAGAGCTTGTCGATGACCGCGGCCTGGCGCGTGCCCTGGTCCCAATGGGTCGGGAGGTCAGCCGTGAGCTCCGTTGCAGACGCCAGCGTGCCCGCCCATTTCTTCTCGCAGGGGCGGCGCCGGGCTGCGGGGTTCTCCGCCAGGGCCTCCATGAAATCCTCGCGGTCCATGGTCTCCCC